CAAAAATCACTGCTAGCAACTCCTTCTCTGTTGTTGCATAGTTAACTTGAGCTTCATTTAACATTTTACTTGCATAATAAATGACATGAAGTCGCTTATTATGTTTTTGCCCAAGAACAGCCCCAACTGCAAAATCACTTGCGTCACACATTAATTCGAATGGCAAGCTCCAATCCGGTGATGCTATGATGGGTGCGGAGACAAGTTGCTTCTTCAACCTATTAAAAGCAAGTACACACTCATCATTAAAGTGAAAAGGAACATCTTTTGCAAGTAATTCACATAAAGGTTTAGCAATCTTGGAAAAATCCTTAATAAACCGCCGATAGAATCCCACATGTCCAAGAAAGCTACGAATGCCTTTCACATTGGTTGGTGGAGGCATTCTCTCAATAACCTCTATTTTGGCTTGATCAACCTCAATACCTTCTGAGGAAATTTTGTGGCCTAACACAATACCTTCACAAACCATGAAGTGACATTTTTCCCAATTGAGTACAAGGTTTGTTTCTTCACATCTCTGCAAAATTAGATCTAAATTGTTAAGACAATCATCATAAGTAGATCCAAATACAGAAAAATCATCCATGAAGATTTCCATAATTTTCTCATTAAAATCAGAGAAAATTGCCATCATGCATCGTTGGAAAGTGGCCGGTGCATTGCACAGTCCAAAAAGCATCATTCGAAATGCAAAAGTACCGTAAGGACAAGTGAATGTAGTTTTCTCTTGATCTTCTGGTGCAATAACTATTTGATTGTATCCTGAAAAACCATCCAAGAAACAATAAAATTCATATCCGGCCAATCTTTCTACCATTTGATCAAGAAAAGGAAGAGGGAAATGATCCTTCCTAGTAGCTGCATTCAATTTTCTGTAATCAATACAGACTCGCCAACCAACCACAACTCTAGAGGGAATCATTTCATCATTTTTACCATGTACTATGGTTATCCCCCCTTTCTTTGGTACTACATGGATAGGAGAAATCCACACACTGTCAGAAATTGGAAAAATTATATCTGCATCCAACCATTTAAGGATTTCTACTCTTACCACTTCTTTCATGTTTGGATTTAACCTTCTTTGAGTCTCAACCACTGGTTTAGAATTTTCTTCCAATAAAATCCTGTGCATACAAATAGTTGGACTAATTCCTTTGATATCAGAAATTGTCCATCCTATAGCCTTTAAACGCTTCCTTAAAACACGTAAGAGCTTGTCTAATTGTTCCTCATTTAATGCTGAATTTACAATCACAGGCAGTGTCTCTTTTTCTCCAAAAAATGCATATTTGAGGTGCTTAGGCAGCGGTTTAAGCTCAAGCTGCGGTGCTTTCTCACATGATGGTGGAGGTAGCCCTTTGCTCAGTCCTAACGCCTCGTATGCATTTCTCCTTTTATAAGGAATTTGTGCCTGCAAAAATTCAGTCATTTCTTCAATCTGTTCCTCTTGTATACCTATACCATTAAGACAAAGTTCAAGAGAATCATTATCAAGATTTACTTGACTCATTTCTAATGCCAATTCATCACATATGTCAACCGAATAAACATGGTCGGTAAAAGAGGGATATTTCTCTACTTTACTCAAATCAAATTCCACTTCCTCTTCACCGATTTGAAACTTAAACTTACCTCGTTTGACGTCTATTATTGTACCTGCAGTGGCCAGAAATGGTCTACCAAGTATAATAGGTACATTTACATCTTCCTCCATATCTAAAACAACAAAATCGACAGGAATAATAAATTTCTTCACTTTAATGAGCACATTTTCCAATATGCCCATTGGATGTCTAATAGACCTGTCAGTCAATTGCAAGGAAATGTTAGTACGCTTCAACTCTTTCAACCCCAATTGCCTAGCCACAGTTAAAGGGATCAATGACACACTTGCACCAAGGTCACAAAGTGCTTTAGAAAATTCTACATTACCGATAGTGCAAGGAACTGTAAAACTCCCTGGATCTTTCAATTTGGGTGGCAATTTATTTTGTATGATTGCACTACATTCTTCTGTTAATGCAATTGTCTCACTGTCTACCAACTTCCTTTTCTTGGTCATTATCTCCTTGAGAAACTTCGCGTACGAAGGAATCTGCAAAATAGCATCCACAAAAGAAATGTTAATATGTAATTGTTTAAAAATGTTGAAAAATTTCTCAAATTCTTTGTCATTTCTTGAAGGCTTCAATCTTTGAGGGAATGGCACCGGTGGAGGAATTGGTGTTGCATCTTCCATTTGCAGTTCATTTTCCTCTATCTTTTCTTTCCCTTTTTCTTCCTTGCTTCCCTCTTTTAACTCACTCAATTTCTTATTCTCTATTTTTTCAAACTCTCTTCCACTTCCAACTACTGGCGGCTCAACTAATTCCTTACCACTACGGAGGGTTATGGCCTTCACATGCTCCCTTGGGTTCACTTCAGTTTTGCTAGGTAAATCCCCTTGGTTGCGATTATTAACCGCATTGGCAATTTGGCCTAATTGGACCTCAACATTCCTGTACATATTGGTGAGTTGGTCCATTCTTCCCTCAATTCTTTCAAACCATTGAGTAGTTGCACTAGCTACCTTTTCAATTTTATCATTCGATGCATTGGCTAGCTTTTCGATTGCCAATTCCCAAGCTGGTTTGGACTCATGCAGTGTTTGCTTTTGTTGAAAACCTGGTGGATTAACTGGTCTTTGTTGGTTCCCTTGATCTTTCCATCCAAAATTCGGGTGATTACGCCATCCTGGATTATAAGTATTGGAGTATGGATTGTTTTGGGGTGGACGGTTGTAATTGTTGAGATATTGAACCTGTTCACTGCTAGAACACATAAAATCATCATGATCTCCGCCGCAAATGGTACAACTTGCAACAACTACTCCTTGATTAGAACTAGAACCAACTTGCCTATTAAGCATCTTAACCACATTATCCATTTTTGCACTTAACATATTCAAGGTATCTACTTCAAGCATACCTGCGGTTCTCCTTGAATTACCTCGTTCGTTTGCCCATTGGTAGTTGTTAGCAGCCATTTCTTCGATCAATTTCTGAGCTTCCTCAGCTGTCTTTCCCATTAAAGCTCCTCCCGCTGCTGCATCTACATGTGTCTTTGTTGGATAGGTGAGACCATTGTAAAATGTTTGGACTACTAGCCAATAGGGTAGACCATGATGAGGGCATCTTCGTTGCAATTCCCGATAGCGCTCCCAAGCTTCATACAATGTCTCTCCTTCCTGTTGAGAGAAACTAGTTATATCCATTCTTAATTTAGCAGTTTTTCCAGGTGGAAAGAATTTATTAAGAAAAGCCTTAGCTAATTAATCCCAAGTAGTAAAAGTATTTGGAGGATGAGATTGTAGCCAAACCTTAGCCTTGTCCCTTAGTGAAAATGGAAACAATCGAAGTTTAATCGCATCTTCACTAACACCATTAAACTTAATTGTATCACAAATTTCAAGAAATGTTGACAAGTGAAAATTTGGATCCTCAGTAGCATTACCTCCATATTGAGATTGTTGTACCATTTGAATCAGTGATGGTTTTATCTCAAAGTTATTAGCGTTTACCGTTGGTCTTACAATGCTAGTTTGAGATCTTTGTGCTCCCGGTAAAGCAAAATCTCGCAGAATTCTCCTATTTGATTCATTTTCTGCCATTTCTTCCTCAAATTGTAATTCTATCAAGATATCTTCTATTGGCTGCCAAACCTCTTGTTCCTCTTGATGTGATGTGTTCCTCCTTTGTCTGCGTAGTGTTCTTTCAATTTCCGGATCGAAATGTACAACTCCTCGATTTGATCGGTGCATACACTACAAACAAAAATAAGAGAAAATTTTTGTACTTTTAATTCAACAACTTGAATAAAGATAATGAAATTTATCTAAATTAATAGAGATGATGAGGCCCTAATATTGCCGCTCCCCGGCAGCGGAGCCAAAAACTTGACGGGATTTTTAGATCAATGCAAGTTTAATTCCGATTTTACACCCGTTGGACTGCAAGTATACAGGTCGCAATTGTAGTACAAGATGTTTATCGGGTCGATCCCACGAGGAGCAATTTAAACAATTACTAAACCCTTGTTCTCTCTATTATTTAGACTTACAATTAATTTGAGCAGAGAAAGTCTAATGCTGTAATCTACAAATCTGATATACAAATCTAGTTTAACAAATGTTGAATGCAAATAGAGAAATTTCACTTAAGAAAGATTCTAGGGATGTAGATTCCACTTATGGCATAAACAACACAAATGAATGAATTTACTTCTTGATATTATTCTTGCTTAACCAGAGATTCATTTCCAAAGTTTCCAAGTCTCATTTTCATGATGAAATGGCCTAAAGCAATATAGATTTCCCTATTTTCATGGTGAAATACTACTACTACTCTGTTTTATTTCATGAAATGCTAAATAATCCACCTAAGTGTATCTCTATTTTCATGAACATACAACTCAAGCTCTACTCATGTGTTTCCATTGTTATTACCAATTCTCATTGAACAATAACAACTATAACCAAACTATTGGTGATCAATCAATAGCAAGTAATCACAGCTACACAAGTAGACAAGTTAATACAAGATATAACAAGTGTAAATCACATTCAATTTATACTATTTAGCCATAAGTTTCATCTACTCCCTAGATGAAGAAAGTTAGCTACTCATGTATGATTCAACAATCAGAATCACAAGTTTATTGCTGCAAAACATCATACAGTATAAGTATAAGAAAGATGAAAGAAAGCTTAGCCAACTGAAGGTGAAGCTCTCTAATTCCTGCTATGCTCTTGCACAATCTGATTACCAGTGAAAAACTCCAAAGACAAAATGCTTCTCCAAGACTCCTAACTAGAGAGAAACTTATTACAAAATGAAAAACTAGCTACGTATGGTAATGCCAGGCTTCTCCTCTGTGTTTCTGCATGGTGGAAGAAATTCCATTCCTCTTACTTCATAATTTCCTCCACTCAAATTTTGTAAAAAGAAGTCAAAGATATGGTTGTGTCGTTTCCATCTGGTGCTAATTTTGCTTTCTCCGGAATTTATGCAAAATGTACGCGTGTTGGCCGCCGCCCTTTGTGGGATGCGATGGAGTCCATTAGTATTAATACTCAAGGGGCATGGATAGCTGCGGGTGATTTTAATGTTATTTCAGCAGCTGAGGAACGTGTAGGTGGCTCACCGGCGAATGTTAGAAATATGGAGGAGTTTAATTCCTCCATGTTTAATTGTGGGTTGGCTTCTGTTGATTTTGATGGGCAGCCCTTTACTTGGACTAATGGGGTTGTTTGGCAACGGTTAGATAGGGCTTTAACGAATGCTGCATGGGTAGAGGCATATCCTATTAACCGAGTTTCGCATTTAGCCCGAGGCAGATCTGATCATTCTCCTCTATTAATTAAGTGTTGCTCCACTACTCAAACATCTTCCGCCTTCCGTTTTTTGAATGTTTGGTCTGGCCATGCACAATATCCTGGGGTGGTTAAGGAAGCTTGGGAGACTATGAATGCTTGGAAGTCATAACTTTGAAATGATGTACCTCGATATTCAAAACGCCGAATTTAATTCCATTTATTGTGTTTGAAACCTTGTTTGGAACTCATATTTTGTTATGAATTTCAAAGGCTGATTCACTTTCTGTGAATTTTGCCGAATTTCCAAACATCACCGAATAACCAAGGTTGGTTCTGTCTTGTTAATAAGTCAGCGACTTTGAGCTGAAAAATGAATGCTTTCTATTTGGAATCTTGGAAAAGTATCTTTTAGGAACTTTTAATACTTTGAACCTAGATTCCAACGGTATAAAGTTTTTCATTTTTGGACATGCCAAATTCAAGATCTGATTTTTCTAAATTTGACGTACAAAACTGAAATTTTTCGATTTCTTGGGAAATGAGTTTTTGAAAACTCAACACCTTATCCCGATATCGATATATCGTTTTGGACCCGATTTCATGGAGGAGACAAGTCTCCTTTGTGACTTTAAAATCCTCACTTTTGAAACTTACATGTTGATAGAGTAAAGCTCTTTAAGATATTTTCTTAATCCTAAACTAGTGGATATTCTTACTTGAGTGATGTATGATTGTGAATAATAGAAAATCGATATTTCTTCAAAAGCTCACGAGGACCTTCAAGAGAGTCTCGGAGTGGACATCTAAAAGCATATTTGCTCATTTTCTCACTTTTGAATTGGTGAGTATTTCTTATAGGTGTACGTGACTTGAACAGTTTTGCTACATGTTTACTTCATAGTTATTGTGTACTTAAGTGTTAAGTGCACCCTATAAATGCTCTTATGTAACTGTCCACCGTTTTAAAACGAGTGTGTACTTTATCTCAGTCGACCTACTAAAATGATAAATTTCTACCGTTAACCGTGAACTACTACCATTTACTAATTTACTTGATTACTTGCGCATGTTGTAAGTTCTAAGCTGAACTGGATCCTGCCCTTAGTTACTAACCTGCTCGAGCCAAGACTGGGCTCGGTCGGGTAGGTTGGAACCCTGGACCACCGTTTCGATATACTCAAGTATTATCACTGGAGGGATAAGGTAATGACCAGACAAACCGAGGGGATCATTGGAATTATAAGGTGAAGTGGACTGAAATCGTTTCAAGTGATCACCGTATCCTTTCAATGTGTGTTTATTTCTGCACAATGATAAATGTCTCATTTTAATGTACCAATGTGAAATCTTGAACCGTACATGTGTTATGCTCAATTTACTTGATTTATTAGAATTGCTTAGATTTTGGAACCTCACTGGGTTGTTTAACTCATTCCACAATTTTATTTTCCTTAACAGGGTTCAAGGCCGAGAGTGTTCGCGAATAATATTAGGTTATTTTCTTTTGGAGACTTAAGTCGTATTGTAGCATATGACTGTAGTAAATATTTTTTTAGGTTGTATTTAAGCTTGAAGGTTATCTAATTGTAAGTATGAAATGTTTTGGAGTACTTTTCTTATATATTGAAAATATTTGAAGTATTTCTAGTTTTTAAATTATGGATTGTAGTGAGTTCCGGCGAGAGTTGGGCAGGTGTTCCACCGATACCCTTGGGTTCGCCCTTGGAGAAGTGGAGACGTCATAGGTGGTATCAGAGCCATTTCACGTGGTCTCTGCGCGGGGTGAGTTTGGGTCAAGTGGTGTTATGTTTCTTATTATGTGAATGGGTAAAGACTTAAATACTCTTCTAAAGCGTAAGCTGTGAATCATGAATGTGATAGGTATAAACCCTTTATCTTGATATTTGGGGAAATTATATATGTCTGTTGAGTAGGAATTTCAAATGTGGTGATTTACTCTTGGGACTGGCTAGTTCGAGATGTGAATTATCTTATTTCGAATTCTTGTACCCGAGTACTTAAGAGTTGAGGGCAATGCTAGGAACTTGAGATCTCTATTTGCGAGGAATAAGAACGAATCAATATTTCACGTGAATAGTTACACAAAATCAATAATCGTTTGGCTAGGATGACACAATAATTAAGAGAGAGAGATGGAGAAGATCGTGGCCCAGAGGATCCTATTATTAGGGAACGAGAATAATTTAGTTCCAATTAATCAAATAAAACACTATTTTTAATCTTTTGTAATGGGACGATGAGAATAGGACTTAAGAGTTCGTGCCTTGGAGATACATGTACTTTTGTTAATTATCTGTTTACTTTTGTTTACTGACCTTGACTTGGTATGTACTTTACTTGACTGTAACTTGTGTTATGATCTGATAAACTCTAGTTTGTGTTTGACTTGTACGCTGATAATATTATTTGTGCAAGTGATTTTATTTTCTTTAGAATTGTTACCGGTATGTGTGTATAGTTCAGTTATGAATTAGTGTGGGATTTATGCATGTGCACATAGATTAGTTGTGAGCATGAAAACTAGAGGACAATGTAAGGGACGTCAACCCAAACAAGCCCGAAATCAAAGGGTAGATAATGATTCTGCTATTGATCAAAACACCGAGCTTAGGGTTGGGAGAGGAGATGACCAAATGGGATTAGTTTTAACTCGCATGACGGATGTACTAAAACTCTTAGTAGCTCAACAGGGCCAGGGGGTTGGACAAGGAAACCAACGTGGAAACCAAGAGATAGGGGAGGATCGAGCTTTGGAACGGTTTTAAAAATTTTTTTCACCCAAATTTTCTGGAGGACTTGATCCAGAAGTGCTGAAAATTGGTTAGAAAATATAAGAAATATATTCGATGTCTTGAACTACACAGAAAAAAGACAAGTCACCTTTGCTGTATTTCAACTTGAAGGAACAGCCCGAACCTGGTGGAATGTTATAAGAAACAAGTGGGAAAGACATCGAACTCCAAAAACTTAGATGAACTTTGCATGAGAGTTTAATGAGAAGCTTCTTCATCCATTAGTCTAAAAAAAGAGAGAAGACGACTTTATAAAGCTTCGTCAAGGAATTTCGAGTGTGGCTGAGTATGAAATACAATTCACGAAATTATCTACATATGCTCCAGAATTGGTCGCAGCGGAATGAAAGAGAATAAGACAGTTTATCTAAAAATTAAATTTAGAAATCCAAGTTGCCCTTGCTGCAATACAGATTAAAACATTTAGTGACGCTCTTGAGAAAGCACAAAGGGTAGAGAGCACCAAATCCCAATTAAGAATCTTTCAAACGAGGAAAAGAGATGTATTCGGTAGTAGTAATTACGTTGAAGTACCAAGAAAAATTGGACCGCCACCTAAAGTTAGAAAAGGAGTAGATGGAGTAAGACTACCACTTCCTTTACCACTCATGATAAAGAAATCCAAAGGAATTAGGTCACGAGGAGCTCCAGTAGGACAGAGCCAATTAAGGGAAATTTCGCAGGCAAGTTAAGTCACAACTCCTTATCTGACCTGTGGATATTGTGGAAGGACGAATCATATTGAAGAAAACTGTTGGGTGAAGGGACGAAAGTGTATGGGTACCAACTATAAAGTTCACGACTGCCCAAAGAGATATTCATGAGAAAATACTATTCAACAAGGAAGACAAGTCAATGGAGGAGGAAACCGACCAGTGACACCTGCAAGAACATATGAAATGATCACACAACAAGGTTCAGGATTATCTGAGATTGTGGAAGGTATGAATTTCGCGAACGAAATTCTTTTAAGGGGGAGAGGCTGTGAGGACTCGTGTTTTTATTTCTTAATTTAGCTATTTTTATAATTAATTTCCCTAGTTATATTTAATAACCCTAGTAGTGCATGAATTTTTCTTAAGTTTCGATTTTTCGCGCGCGCATCATAAGTTCGCACATTCTGCTTAAATACGCCTGTTTCACGTCGGAGCGGCTAAGTGGAGATATAAGAAATTTATACTAGACTACTAAGAGTGAATAATTATAGTGTTAAAGGAAGTACACTGGAGGTTTAGTACACAAGTATAACAAACAAGAGATAAAACGGTGGTAGGAAACCCGCGCGCGACAACTATTAAGAGTTGACTTTTTGCCCAATGGCTACTATTCCATTCTTTCTCCCCAAGTTTTAGCACACAAACCTCTCTCATCTCTCTCCATTTTTTGGCCAGTAGCCCCAAGGAAGAAGAAGGAAAGAAAACTCCATCCAATCTTGCACCATTTCACCTCTAAATCTTCACACAACTCACATACCACTAGGAGAGCAACTTTAGCTTGGAGAAGGGCTTCATCTTGCGGGTTTTCTTGGGAGTTTTTGGTGCAAAATTTCTGGTTTCTTCAAGAGCTAAGAGGTAGCGATCATCCACCTTGAATCTTTCCAATTTTTTCTCAAAGTTGGAGCTTTAATGGCAAGGGTTTGAAACCCAAACATAAAACTAGGTAGAGGACTTGAGAAATCCATTTGATTTGCTTTAATCTTAGGTAGAGGTCTTGAGGTGGCCTCTAGGAAGTTGGTTTGAGGTGTAAATACTTGAATATGATTGTTATTTGTATAGATGAGTTAATTATGGATAGAAAATGAAGAGAAAATCGAAGGAAAGTTGGTGCATGGACTTGGCCGAATCTGTCCTGTTATTGCCTTGTCTTTATTCGAATTTTTTATGCTCAAATGACTTTGGAACTGATGTATATATGTTGTATATAGTGTGTAGAAAGTTTCTACCAAAAATTATTTGATTTGGTTGAGCAAAACTTGAATTTTCGAAATTGAAAGAAATCTGGAATTGGGTTCTAGACAATCGAACAGTGCCCCTTTGATCGAACATAACGCTTTGTAAAAAAGTCAAAATCGAGTGTCGTTTGCGGTATTTAAAACTAGACATTCTTAGCTTTAAAACAGTATAAAAATCACTATCTAGTTCGTTTTGTGTGAACTGCAGTGAACTGATAAATTTGAATGTTCTGTTCAGCCTGTTCATTCGAATGGAAATGAGAAGTGGTAACTTGAGGCCTGATTTGGAACTACTTGTGAACTGATTTTGGAAATGATTTCTTCTAATGAAATGTAGATTTTGGAATCTAGTTTCCAAAGCCACCAACCATTCTCAATTTGAGTTTGTATTGAGTGATATATGGC